CAAAATAGTCTGTAATTACTTGTAGAAACATTAAGTATTTTTTGGAAGCAGGCAAAATAAAAAATGAGCAGACGCCTTCGCCGGGAATCGAACCACGGACCTTTGGACTACGGGCCCAGCGTGCAGACTACCACACCACGAAGACATGCTAGGAAAGTGGGAGAAATACCTTATATACTCTAAAATTCAAAATGTTTCAAAAACTCATTTCAGTATAATCAGATAGGTATACTTTAATTGCACAACAAATTTCAAGCGTGTATCTACAGCAAATTTTGAGTTCTTCAGATGCAGCAATATCCTAGCAAAAGTAGAAATTTTTCTGATCACCGTAATAGATATATCTGAGGATCTTACTAACCTTGAAAATAATATTTCGCTACAGAGTCCGCAAATACCTGTAATCTGCTGTCAGTTTTAGATTTAAGTAAATAAAATTTCAAAGTATGAATTAAATTTTGGAACAAGTTTATTGTTAGTATCTTCTTAAAACAGTGCATTTATTAATCTATTTATTTTTCTGTAATTTAAAAGCATAAACATTACTTTAAAGATAATTTCACTGGTAAACATACCAATTTCTTTCAGTAAAGTATTTGATTCGTTTTCACAAAAAAGTTCTTTATTCCTACTGAAACTTTCGTCTCATCTTTTGCCTTATCTCCCCACTACATTTTAACCTCGCATTGGCATGCTCTTCTTTGTAAATAATTGTTTAAAAAGGTTATATTTTACAAATCTTGATTAAATAATCCTTAAACTATGAATATGCTTTGATTTTATTTAAGTGAAGATAATCCAAATTTAATTTAAAAACTAGAACCGGAGTAATATTAGCAAAGCTCAGAAAAACATAACCTGTTAATCTTCAAAATTCTTTATTCCAGGCAACCCTTCGTCCCAAGATTTGCGAATTATCGGAATTCTACAATTTTTATCAGTTCCGATGTTTATTTATGCTCTTAGAAAAATACTTATCACTTTCAGGAGTGTCGATTTAGGTAGGTGGTCGCTGTGAGAGTTTTCATTGTAATTTTCGTTCTCAAGTTACAGTTTCTCCACAAAGGATACACTTTCTTATCTCATATTTTATTCTTTCCAAAGGAGCGCGTTCGAGTCAAGAAGAAAAGCAAACGGCAAATTATGCTAAAGTTCTATTCTTCATTCATTTGCGGAGCTTTTAACATTGTTGTAAAATCACTCCTTTTTCTTTTGTTTTCAATTTACTATTTTAAAAATCAGTTGACATTTATAATTATGATCTGAAAATGAAACCAAAAGAAAATACTTCATCTTCTGTATGAAAAAGTATTCCGTACTTCATATAGAACGTATATTGCTGGGCTATCTTGAACAGAGAACATAAGCAAAAGCGAAACTGAAAGCAGGATTCAAGCCGAATCAGTAGATGGTAAATGTTTCTAGACAAATTATTCTCACTCAATGCCAAGAGCTTCAAGACATTGGAACAATAATTATAAATGTAAGGTAAAGTTGATGAAGAATGCAGCAGTTTGAAAACGCCGTAACTTTCCGTTCAAAGAGGACATATGTTTTGCTTCTGCGTTTTTGATATCAATCGAAACAACCAGAGAAAAATTTCATATTAGAAAGCCGGAAGTCCCAGATCTTTCTTTTTCGTAGAGACTCCTTATCTAGTGTAGCGCCACTTTCATCTAATAATAATGATGTTGTGCATTCCACAGTGATAAAATATTCTGATTTAGCTCACTCTCTGATTGTCAAAAACAGGCTCAATGACTTTTGTGAAATATCGTTTCATATAAATTAACTATTTTTTTCTTTTCAATGGCAGAGAACGAGACAAATATTATATAAACAGAAGAGAAATCCGTAAACATATAACGTAAAAAAAAAAAAAAAAAAAAAAAAAAAACCACTATCTCATCATTTGGCCTCTAACTCTTCACAATGCCTCTTCACCTCAGAGGCCTCACAACGTAGGGCATTTTCCGATGTTGTCTATTTCTTCATTTAAGCTGCAAAGTGTATAGTTTAGGCTGGTTAGGAAGCCAACACGATAGAGATGGTTTGCCAAGCAGTTATGAACAGTTTCAAAACCTACACCTGGGCTCAGCTTATTCCCCGTGTTTTGTCTGGCAATTGCTTTCCAAAATGCCGCTTCATCTCTTCGTTAAGACTCGCGTCATAAGTTTACTTCTCCATTTTTGTTTCAAAATTTACGAATGTATAATTTTGCAGAGTGGTAAGAACAATTTGTAGATATAATTTCGATTTTTTTTTTTTTTTTAAAGTTTAGCGGTTGGATCGCTACTATAAAGGCTACAATGACCGATATAAATTAACCGTTAACTGTATAGTGGAAGTTTTGGTCCTGTATAGTGGAACTGGTAAAAATTGTAATTTTTTTTTTTTTTTTTTTTTAATAATCGGCTGTAAGTGATAGTTAGCTCTGCAACCAATGCTCTTTTATTCTGTTTCCAGTATTTAATGTGTAACTATGTAAACGAAGTCTCAAAATTCAGTTTATTAAGATACTTTATTATCAAAACTTACTTTATTATTAATTATATTTATTACTACCGGGGATTTGTAGAAATACTAAAATATATAGAGATATAAGACAAACTGGTTAGTAACTCTTGCTGATTTTAAATGTGAATTTCTATAGGTTTAATTTTAGTTAGCTCTGATTTTCAGTATGCTTCTATTTAAAAAACTTCATTATCTCCCTTCTAATATCCCTTCTAATGAGTAATTTATTGCCATCGTGGTAATGGAATAATTGTACAAAGCGGCCGAGAGCATAACTCAGAATCAGGGCCAACACTAAACATTTTGCTGCTCATTGCAGTACTCCTTCATCGAATTCTAAATCCAATTGCACCCTGAAAGTCTAAAGATGTTCTGCTGCCCAAATCCTCTTAAAAATTCTAAAAATTTTGAAATCCCAGTTTTGTTGCTCTGTGTTTCTTTTAAATTCTCAAACTTTTGCCGCCGGTTGCATCACCCCTGGGGTTCGTCTTGCCCAGGATGTGCACCAGCGGCTGATCGACAGTGTATCTTTCAGAAGGGAAGAGCAACCGACAATTACAAATAATCGTGTTTCCTCCGAAATTTGTGTTCAGGCGCAAAGATATGGAAATTTTACTGCGCTAACCATCGCTCTGATCACGTTCTGTCAACGATAATATATGGCAAATGCATAATGTCTGTTCAACAATAAAATAATTTGTTTCATACATGTCGTATTTTCATACCTGAAAATTCTCATTGTAAATTTAAAATGCACTCTTTTTGTTCAGATGAAATGCTTTTCCGTTATTTTGTAATAAAAATATACATACGCGCTTTTTATTTAAATACGATTTCTTTAAAGTTTGATTTTGTAAAGTGACATCCGCTATTTTGAGAACATAGTGCAACTCAACTCGTTATGTCGATTTGTTTGAGTAGTAATTCAATCGACCGGACGACAGATGTTAAAAGGTTGGCGCGGGAATGTCAAGTTGATGCATTTCTGCTGCTCTATGATATTTCTTGCGTGTACTGAATTTCCTAACACAGTGATTGCTTTTCGGGTTTAGTGTGCTTTAAACATTATGCATTTGCCATATTAGGTAACTTTTATCGTTGAAGTTTATTAAAATGTTTTTGCGTAGCTTTTTTTTTTCGTGTCATATATTTTATGAATATTTTTTTATAAATGTATTTTGTAACCTACTTTTTTTCTGGTACTACGTTATATGCAGGGAATTTTTAATGTTTATTTTGTGCTGTTGTTACCGTTAGTGCATATGAGCATTTGCAGTTTGTTTTAGTTTCCTAATTTTCCTTAGAACAGTATTGTGACTTATTTACACATGTAAGAAACACTACGCAGAATTAATTTATTTTGAGCGCAGTCCGGCCCTTATAATATGAAGGAGCTGCGCTCATATTGCACAACACATACATATATATATATATGAAAAAAAAATACAATTACATATTAATACAGCGTTTGCCACTTTGATTATTACATAATCAAGTCCATCAGGGCCTGGGGCTTTTTTCAGTGGGAAATATTTGAAAATTTGTGAAATTTCAAATATATAATATGGCCATATTGGGCGAAGTAGGGATGAAACCGTTAACAAAAGCATTAAATTTACCTTTATATCTTTTAATGATAAAATGCTGGACAGTGATTGCCATTTAGTACATTTAAGCAGATGTTAAATGAGCCAAGACAATATAAAGATCTACACACTAAAATTTATTCCTCAATGTTAATCTCATTGCTAAAAAGTTTGCAACTATCCAAATAAACTTTTTACGCTTACCCGGAAGGAAAATGGATAACAAATAAGAAAGTAATGATTAATAATTTTCTATGCTGAAACAAAATATTGCTATAATCTGGGATTTCAAAAAATTAAATCATTAGAACTCTATGTTGAAATTACAAGTCTGAAGCAGATTTTTGCTAAATTCAAAGTATACACAAAATGTTTACAATGCATTTCGGATATGAACTGAAACAAGCTGACTTACTGTTTTGGAAGTGTTATGAAAATCAAATAGGTGATAACGTAACAGTGCTCCATTACTCAGTGATAAAGAGAGAGGACTAGCCATGGAGGCTACGAAGATCAGCTCAAACACATAACTACTTTAACACTTCTTAATATTGAAGGATTTCAAAATACATACATTATACAAGTAACAATAACAATTCTGCATTCTTACAAATTTTATTGAATATAAGCTCATTTTTAAATATTATTATAAATACAATATATCGTTCATAATCAGCTTAACTGTTATTTTTGTTTAATAAGTTGTATTTATAAATTTGCTATTGTCTTTCAAATAAAAGATTTGTATAAGTTAATCATTTTTCCCTTATTTTTGAAATAATGCTTGAAATTTTTAATGTGTAATATTTCTTTTGTACTATTTTTGATATATATATATATATATATATATATATATATATATATATATATATATATATTATATATTTCCTTTTTCAGGTCTCTTTCGTTAGAAGAATAATAGGAAATTTATGTGAACAATCAAATTCCTTCTCATTTATAATTCAGAATGTCTGCAACTGAAAATGCTATCCCAGCAACAGACTGCAGTTCATCCAATAAATTATCAGTGTCATCTAGCAAGAGCCATTTGATACCTAGTCGAACTAACAGCCCTTGTGCAGAGCAGGCAGTTTCCAAATTAAAAGGCTCGGTGAACTCTGTGAGTGAAATGTCTGACAGCTTCACAGAAGCTGATAAACTGTGTGGCTGGGGAAATTTTAGACCCTTCTGTTTACAAAATTTTAGAACACCTCACTGGGTTCTTTTTTGGCTTTGTTGGGCTGGAGCCTTACAAGGACTTATTGTAAATGGATTTATAAATGTAGTAATAACAACAATAGAGAAAAGATATGAACTAAAAAGTACAGAAACAGGACTGGTAGCAGGCAGCTATGATATTGCATCTTTTCTGTGCTTAATACCAATAAGTTATCTCGGTGGAACACGCAGTAAGCCGTTTTTCATTGGAAGTGGGCTTATTATTTTAGCTTTTGGTTCCTTGGTATTTTCTTTGCCATATTTCCTTGCAGGCCCATATACTTTCAGCCAGGAACAGGATTTCCATTGTCATTTAGGACTTCCGAGTTTAAACTATTCAGTGACTTGTTCTTCAGGAGATTCATCGTTATCCAGTTACAAGTATGTGTTCTTTATTGGGCAGCTTCTTCACGGAGCCGGAGCTGTACCACTGTACACATTAGGTTGCACTTTTATAGATGAAAATGTTCCAACAAAAATGTCATCAGTTTATTTAGGTATGTATTCTCTCTCTATATATATATTGTAATTTCAAAAATCTCTTAACAAATAAGACTAGAACAAATCTCTAGGAGATTAGTTTTTGATTTTTTTTTTTTCTACATTTAAGTGCACTGTTTTTCTTGCACTTATATAATAATACATAATTAAAAATTGAGTTTTCAGTTTACTGTGTGAAATGTATTTTTGGCAAGTTCTTAAGAGATATATAATATATAACCCCATTTGTAGTGGGAATATGAGCTAGTTTCTATTAAAAAGTCCTTCATGAAAATGTCTTTGCTTCTAGGCAGATAGCCTTTCATACTTTGCCATTCAAATAACCTGAGCAAACATAATCTTAAGATATATGTCCATGTTTTGGATTATATTTAGCATATCTTGAATTAATGAAAATTTTGGTACATTCTGAGTATCCGCACCCTCCTGTCAAAAATTCGTGAACTGTTGGTGACTAATTTTTCATCAAGCTAAGACACAAAAGACCTTTAAAAAATGGTGTCATAAAGAAATGCATAAAATAGCAATTAAGGTTGGATCCTAGCAGAGCCCACACCCTTAGCGCGGTAACTAATATGGCGCATATCGATGTGTACATGGACAAAGTCAAGTGAGTATGCAATGCAAGTTTGTGCAATTCTTTGATTTTTTTTTAATAAAAATAGGTCAAATAAATTAATAGTCAAATAAATAAGTGAAAATAGGTCGATGGGTACATGGATACCAAATTTTCAATCGTTATTATTTTCAAGTTGGCAATTTTGGGAAACTCGCGAAGCAGTGGGTGATTCTGCACTTTCTCAGTTTGTCGCCAAGGGCGTGGGTTCTCCTAGGATTTTTACTGCAATTAGTTAGCAAAATTAAAAGTAACATCTATAAAAAAACACTTTTTTTACACTATTTCCACATACGCAGCTATCTGTTTTAGCTTTAAAAAGCATCGGAAAATCGCAGAAACTGCACGCACTGTTATCCTGCGATGAGTGCACAGTGTGATTTTGTACTTGTCTGTTTTCTCTCTTCCAGTTGCATTATCTGTTGTTAGGCAAAATGCCATATTTCTGAAGAAAAGGAATTATTTCTTTTTTATCACCAGGCAAACTTCACAATTCCTTACAAGGAAAAAATAATGCACTCCTTGTAACAAGAACACTTATGAATGATGTTTATCTGCTTCACACATGCCCTGCCACGGACATATGGCAGGGCATGTGTGAAGCCATATGTCTGTGGCAGCATTGGTATATAAAATATACCAGATGTTTGTTAATTTTTTAACCTCCTAAAATGCTAAAAGCTGTAATCGTAAGTTTCTGGTGTTTCCTTTTGATTCTAAGTGGCAACACTAACCTATCAATGCTCAATATTTCGCAGTTATAAAATTAATACATTCAAAAGTCGTTAATTCGGACACCCATAATCCGGAATGATCTATAATCCGGACCTCGAAGCTAAAAACTTTCTGTGCACGCGCCGCGTTGACACATGCGCATAGGCGTTTACGCGTGCGCGTAAGACCTCTTACGACTGCGCATTTGCGTGTGCGCAAGTGCAGAATACGTTTTCGCGTGCACGTTTTATGTATAATGAACAGTATAAGCTAAAATTATCTAATTATCTATTTCAGTTAATGTTGATTACGTTGTTCCTTAATTTTCGAATTGGATCCGGCTTATTATTTTTTGCAGACTGTAAGAGCAATACTATAAAAGTAAACTTGAACTTTCGATTATGTCAAATAGAATTTCCGAATCTGGAGTTCCCAAAGGATCGTACAAAACGAAAGTATGTTTCGATGTCCATCCAACAGAGAGGTTAGTGACAGAGAGGTTAGTGAAAACGAAAAAATTTCGATTGACAAATTAGTCGGTATTCTCGGCACAGCAATTAACGGGACTTGAACAGCGGAACTTTGTAACTGAACAAAAAATTATGTCTGTTTATAGAATTAAAGAGAAAGTATTATCACATAAAACGAAGCAACTTAAACAACTTACATTGAAAGAAATGTTTAATAAAGTAAACAAATAAATATTAAGCTTTTTTTGTAAATTTTGATACCCTTTAGATCATAATTGTTCTTTATTTCATAAATTATGGTTTCATATTTTTAATTTTAGAATTTCTGCATGCCATCTTACGTGATTTAAACTGATGATCTGTAATCCGGAAAAATCGATAATCCAGAATCGCCGAAGTCCCGCCGAGTCCGGATTAACGACTTTTGACTGTATACCTTGTTTCAAGGTATCATCTTTGAAGATTTATAAATTCTATTGGGGGAGGGGAGAAAAATTTAAAATCTGCAAATATGACATACGCATGCTGATCTTATGTATATACTGTATTTTAGTCAAAACTGATAATTAAAAGATTATATAATTTTAAGTGTATATATAATATACCTGCACCCATACTAAGGTTCCACACCAATAGATAGCAGCACCAAGCTTCTCCTTCTCTACTCTGTCAATGACAGAATTTCTTGTATTGTAATTGTTTACAATGTAATAATTTGTTTGATTAATTTACAAGTTGTTTTGGATTTAATATTATGTTCATGGAAGATGGGGAGTTTACTGACCCTGTGCTAAGAATGACTAAAAGTATTTTAGTTTCTTCTTATTCTTTGCTTACTTCAGTCAAGTTCTCATTCGTCTCTGTTTAGCTAAAATTTTTATTTTGCCACATGACTCTTTGCCTGGATGTAGACTCCTTGATTTCAATATTGTCGTCTAGCTTCAAAAAGTTACATAATTGTAGGAGTTAAATATGCCACCGAAAGACACCCAGCACGCTTCGTATTTTCCAAAATTCTAGAATGCAGCAAAAATGATGAGAAGTGATCGATAGCTAAATTGTGATATGAGGGCCATGCAATCTCAAAGAGGCTGTGATAAGTTCACACAAAAGGAGAGCTCACAAACACAGGAAATAGAAATGTGCTTTAGGTCAATTTCTTAGTGGAATGGAAAAACTGCTGAATTGAAAGCATGCTTTTATGCTTTAGGGTATAGTCTTCGTTAATTTCAGATGTGAAACTAGGGAATAAAAGAGAGATTTCCCCCCTGGGTTAAGATACAAATATGTGGTTTTCGAACTAAGTCTTCGCAGCTGATGAAAGGAGGGAAAATATTTCTAAGGCCAGTTTTAGTTGCAAAACATTTATCTTTGGAAGGAAAAAAAAGAGGGGGTCCAATTATTTGAGTTTTTTTTTTTTTAATTATAATTGAAATAAGGGCTTTGAAGTGTATCTGTAATGAAATTGTTTAACAGCTCTTCGTCCAGAACAAAATATGTTACAACCTGTATTTACAAGAAATTAAAAAGGGGAGCTTATGGGTTCCGATAATCAAAAGTTTCTGAAGGGCTATTCTTGCTATCATAGCATGAAGCATGCTCTTTATATATATTATCTAAAGCACAAAATATAATAACTTAAAAAATGAAACATAATTTTTCAGCTGAGTCATAGTGTTTTATTTTTCAATTTTTTATTTTTCACATAAGTAACATTATACTAGTTCAATTACAGCATAATGCGCTTCACGCATGCAGAAAGAAAAAAACAGTTTTATCTCCAGTGCACGAGACTGTGTTTTGGAAATTCTAAAGATATGCTGCTTTAAAAATTATTTTGTGATTTTGCTGTTGAATTAAATTTTATGGTTTAAGTGGAAAGAACATATTTAATAAATAAAGGTAACACACAAAACGTTAAAAAAAAGCCCCGTTGGGCGTAATGTAAAATCTGAAATCTTTTAGAATTTTTTTTTCTGTATTGTGTTTCTTACTTCTGTAGGTCTCGTGATATTTTGTGGTTCATGTTTGGGTTTTTAATAATAATAATAATAAAAACTCTCTTTGAAAAAACTAAATCATTTATCAACAATTAACTATGTAAAACCAAGATGAGGATATTGATAATGTTTTGTGATGTCGCATTATCCATTATTAATGGTAAACCCATTGCTTACCATTAATTTTTTATTAATCATAAATGTTGATGTCAAAGTATATAAGTACTGATAACTCTGTCAACATTTTTTAGTTCTAGTACTTTTGAATTATTTAAGATTCTGCTTTTTAATTTTATTTGCAATAATATGTTTAATACGAACTATTAAGTAATTTGTTTACATTAAAATATATTATTATAGAGAACCAGTTTTAAATAAAATTTTATTTTGAGTATGAAATACAAAAACTTATATTTAAAATTTTATAAACTCTAAAATTTTGTATTTTATATTTTAAATTCTTTATTTAAGGAATATTTTACACTATGGCTATAATTGGTCCTGCGATTGGATATTTGCTTGGTGGACAGCTACTGAAAATATACGTGGATTATGGTGTTGATGTAAATGAGTAAGCATTTTATTTTAACTTTTATAATTTTATTTCCCATGTGCAAAGTAAAATATCTTGTATGCAAAAATCAAATGATGATTAATCTCATTTGTTTCATAAATAGAGAAAATTCTTTTAAAGGTCTGTTATATGCAAGAAAAGGTTTTGAATATGCATTAATAATTGATGGGATATGAATTTGTAAGACTTATGATATAAAACAAAATAAAAATTAATATTGATTTAATCATTTTTAACATCATGAAAAAGATATTAAAACCAGTATATGTTACCTAAATATTTTTAAATGCTGTCAGAATGTTTGTAAATTAATTTGTTTCAAATTTAACTGGGATTAAAATAATCCAGTGGAATTACTCCATATGGGAACAGCATAAAACTTCTTAGTTGTCAAGTAAATTTTCGTTTGTCATCTTTCTTATTCTAGTGTAAAACATCAAAAGTGTTCTTTTATTAGATTCTAGCTCTCAAACAGTAAATAATGCATCAAAGGAGCAAAATATATTTTGTCTGTATTCAAAAGTTTATTTTGGGAATAAGTTATGTATTTTGTTTATTCCTAGAGAGTATATGAAAACTTAACATAGAACATAAAATGCAGAACCTTCGAAAACATGCTTGACTTTCAAAACCTACAAAATATATATGCATATGCTTGCCTTACAGAACCTACAAAATACAGATGCATATGCTTGCCTTTCAGAACCTGCAATATACAGATACATATGCTTGTCTTTCGGCACCTACAAAATAAAGAACCTTCAAAATTGCCTAGAAATTTATGGTGATTCTTGTTGCCCTACTTGCCCTCTGTAGTACTTCTAGTAATAATTATTTGGTGTGTTATTTTAACTCAAAAATGTATTGTAACTCGGAAGCGATATCAAAAGTCTTAAAAAAGAATACCCGTAAGCTAAACTACTAACCATTAGATAATAAAGCAAGCGCCTAATTTAATACCTTTGAGTTTATATGCATTCTTGTATTAAACTTTAATTAGAAGAATGGAAGCAAATGCTAATTATGTAATTTGGAAAAGTATTATTTTTAATTTTGTGATACTTTATCTAATTATGTGATTTTTCAGTCTTTATGTTGTAAACAACAATACAACACGAGCTGGAAACATGTAATTTGTAAGTAAAATTTTTAATAATACTTTTTTCTTATCAGCAAATTCTGAAAACGGTAAAATTTATAATTTGAAGACTGTAGCTGCTGGAGTAGTTTTGCTGCTAGAGTAATTTTCATCATGCAGTATTCATATTTTTGGGGGTTATAAAAAAGGTAAGAATGTTCTGGAATGGTCCTTGAAATGTGATTAGATACTGAAAATGATTCTTTGCAAGTCGAGCATTTTAAATATTGTCGATTGAAACTACTATGTATATGCATGCAGAGTTCTTTTTTTTGAAGCCATATTTGTGAATTTGTATTATTTAAAAAATTTAAGAAAATAGAGATTTAAAGGTAATTTTAACATTTATGAATTCTGTGGTGCTTATCCCCCCTCAAAAAATACTTTTCTTTTACTGTATCAAGCTATACGTTACTGATACTTTAAATCTGCTTAACTGAAATATTAATGTTATCTTAGTATTATTGTTCAATCATTTTAACATTTACTTTTTAACTTTTTAGACTTGGTTTATCTCCGTCCAGTACTGTATGGGTTGGTGCTTGGTGGATTGGCTTTGTTTTTGCAGCAATTCTTGGTTTACTGATTGCTATACCTGTTCTTGCTTTCCCTAGAGTTTTACCTGGTGAGTTGTAATTCAGTTAGAATGCTTTGCTTATGTTTGTTTAAGTCTAGGTTTGATATTTATACAATTCATGTTCTTTTGCGTTGACTGTTTATTATAGGTACTGAAAAAGTGAAATCTGGAAAAGTGAGTGAAATGCATCAGAAATTGGAAGAAAGTGCAGCTGCACGTGTGGATTTTGGAGCCAGTATTTCTGATTTACCTGCATCATTTAAACTTTTAGTAACAAACCCTACATTCGTTTTTTTGAGTTTAGCTGGGGCAAGTGAAGGTTAGCAAAGTTATTTTTATTTTTTAAGATAGACTTCTTGGACGATTTTTCATAATTGAGTTATAGGCCCTAATAAATAAGCATATATTCATTTTATATAAAAATAATTTCTTTCGATTTTATTGCTGGTTATATGGATTAAAATAAAATGTTAAAGAAGGAAATAAGGAAGGCAAATCATTTTTTTCTTAATAGTAAATAAACCTGCAAATGACAAAGAGGTTATTACCATATTTCTCTTATAAATGTTATATATAAATTAATATGAAGATTAATTATAGATTATTATACGTTTTACATGAAGAGGAGAAAATATTTGAAAGGCAAGAATATTTTCAAAGGTATATATTTATTGAAATTTTGTATAAGGAATATTTGTATTATAGAGCAAATTGTACAACTTAGGCAGATATTATGAGTGGCTTTCTGATAAATAAAAGTTCTTCCTCTTTCTATCTATGTTAAAAGACTAAAAACTAAAAATGTTTTAATAAAAAAATTTGGAGACTTTAATTGCATAAGAAACTTATTTTTGTTAGTATCATGGGAAATCTTTATAAATGAGTAAAAACTTGCCTAATTTGTGAGAGTTAAAGTTACTGCACTGATCTCAGTAAATTCCTCAGAGAACTTGGAAGATTTTACATTTTCTATGCTCAAAAGGATAATTTATCTTGAACATATAATCTTGTAGTTGACATGACCTTCGTATCCATTTATTTACAAACAGAAAAATGTAGATTTTAGTTATTCTTTTTTATCTCATATGGCAAGTAAAGCTAATGAAATTTCAAGAGAATCTCAAAATATTATTTATAAAACATGTCATGAATTCTTAAAAAGTATATGCAGATGATTTCTTTAGCACATTATCTTAAGTTACACAGCTTTAAAAACAGCCCAGTAAGTGGCTCATTTAAACTCGCCCTTTGTTTTCTGATCTTACCATTCTGGATTAGACACAATTGATAGTTAGTGGAGAAAACTATTAAACATTGTTTGGAATTTTTTATCTGGAATTCAAAATAATTAATTATTTTGGATCCAAGCTTTTAAAATTGAAGATGCTCTTGGCAATCCTATTTTAAAAGATATAGCTGCATTTGCTTCAAAACTTTACAGTTTGCCTCTAAGGAATGCAGCTGCAGAAAGGGTATTTTCAAGAGTCACTTTGACTAAAACCAAACATCAAAATAGAATGTAGTTGCAACTCCAAGATTCCGTACTTTGAATAAATATAATTGAATGAAAAAGAAATCTGCTATGTTGACTCTGTATTCTTAATACTCATGCTTACATATGGCTCAAAAATTTACAAAAAGAAATGAAGATAAGAGATCAAGAAAATGAGCAGGTTGATAAAGAGCTATTAAATTCAATTTCCTCTTAAATAACTGTTAAACAAAAAAAATATGCATTTTTATACGAATTTTCACTTCTAAGTAATAGTAGATTAATCAGAAATGTTATAATAATATGTTCTGTAAAATATATACTATCTATATCTCTCTCTCTATATATATGTTTCAGATTGATTTATTTTTAAACGAAGAAAAATTTTATCAGAATATACAGATCAAATAAAGTGGAATAATTCATTGTGAAAAATTTATTTTTCTATAACACTAGATATTTTCACAGAATGTTGGAATATGATTACAATAAATACTTCTGAAGCAATCAATTCTGAAAATGGCCTGTATTTGTAAGAGCATAATTAACATTAGTTCTTTAAAAGAATTATCTGCTAAGAAAATCAAATGGTGGTTGTCTTAGTGAGGAATCATGGGTGATTGTCTTAGAGAGTACTTATTAAGTTTGATCTATAATATATTTTATTCCAAACACTATTTTATTAGTTTTAAAATGAAATATTTTTTATAATTGGTACATGCTATCTAAGCAAAAGGGAAGTAAAACTTTAGAAGTTAAGACATGAATGTCTGTTTATACTTGGAATAACTATCTTATTGTATCTATATATAAAATTCCAATACAACATTATGCACACTGATTTTTCATATTAAAATCTGTGAAAAATGTTCAAAATTTGTTTTTGAACTCGTGAAATAAAGATTATATTGTATTATTGATAGATAGGTGAATTCTGTATAAACAATAGCAGTTAAAAAGTACTTCCAAAACAGAGGGTTATGCACCTTAATACTAATATTGATGATTTTAGTGTTCTACAAATTCTCTTGTTAAACCTGTTTTCCCCCTATTCTATGGTGGTGATAAACTGAGCAAAAGAATCATAGCCTGAGTGCTTATTGGGTACTCAAGAAAAAAAAAAAAAAAAAAAAAAAAAAAAAAATGAAATTTATTACCCTAATTACAATATTTGTAAGAACTAAACAGACTTAAAAGTCACGGAAAATCGTTCACAATTAAGTAAAAATCGATGAATTAAAGTTAATTCCCAACTTTAAAAAAAAAAAAAAAAAAAAAAAAAAAAAAAAAAAAAAATTAGTGCAAAAGTGCTAATAGTCTAAACTTGAAGAATGACTTAAGAATGGCTTTGCACAAATTAATTTAACAATGAAAACCTAAATTAAATGCAAATTAGTTAAAAAGAATTGGATATTTAAACAATGGAAAATGAGCAGGAAAGTTTAAAAAAATTTTTATCAAGGAGGCATGCTATATTTTTTTAAATAAATGTATATTTAAACATAAGAGAGAGAATTATCATTTACACACTTATATTTACCATTAACTTTGAAAATGGCTTTGACACCAACATGCACATCTGCATAATGCAGTGCAATTTACAAATATCTTTTAAGTTCATGTCTGTGGCTATTGTGCAGTTACCTTGCTACTGTCCAAAACCTGATATATTCCTTGTGGCAATAATTTGCCAGAGAGAGTTGCATATATTCCCCCCTTGATTATGAGAGTGGAGGGGGGTGTCAAAAATTATAGATCCTAGATTTCACATATTGTTTTAGAAAATGTTCAGTAAGTCCAAAATGTACTAAAACAATGCAGAGATGAAAAGAGATAGATCCTTAGGCCAAATATGTGAAGATCGCAGGGACAGATGGTGGAGATAGTACATTCAAGCTGAACACGGTCAGATTTTTTTTTATGCTGGCCCTGCATTTTCTTTCAAAATAATGATACTTTGAAACATCATTGCAGATTAAATTCATTTCCATCAGACATTCTAATGTTTCGCAGTAGTAAATAATGTTCACTATGGCACCTTTCAGCAACCATTTGATAAAGATAAGTCCTCAATGAACAAAGAAAGGGTCAATGAAATCTTTGCAACAAACTCCAAGCTTGAATGTCTGCTTGCAGGTAAAACGAGAATACTGACCACATACAGTAGACAAATGTATCAGAAAATACAATGGGTTTTCCTTATTTTTAACATACTGACACTGCAGGTCCAGTTCACTTATTTCTCAAATAAGGAAAATTCTGTATTCATGTAAGATTTCAGGAATGTTTTTTTTTAAAAATTAATATGTGGTTCTGCCATTTTACTTTTATTTTGAGTAAACTTGTAAAATGTTGCAGGGAATTATTTTTTTATTACTAATCAATAATTCATTTCAGGGGACAAATAAGTTCTGTACACCTCCAGGCATTTATTTTAAGATTGCGTTTAATACAGAATCCTTTAGCATCATAAACTGCTAAAATGGACTTTAAAAATACATTTTTCAAAAAATTTTATATTTTAACCACTTATTGATTTTTATCATTATTTTTTATTTTTATTCTTGTAATAGGGATTTTAGTTGCTGGGTTAGCCACATTTCTACCAAAACTGATTGAATCACAGTTCAGTTATCAAGCCAGTTTTGCTGCATTTATTGTAGGTAAGAAATTTCTCTAACATTTTTGCTATAAAACAATATAAGCAATAGGAAACCTTCAAATGCAAGAAAACATTAATATAAAGAAGGATTTATGACTGAAAAATACTCTTGTAATTCTAATGTAAATATTTAATGTTACAAAATAACTTATTTGGTTTAAAATTTTTTAATGGTTTATATGTTTTTCAAAATGTTTCTTTTAGTGAACTTGCCAAAGCTCTAATGAACTTATCTCTAGTTACCTGTGACCATCCTCAGATTGGGAATATCTATGGAGGAAAATATTTCTTCTTCTTACTCTAATCCCTCTGATCTGAATCAGATCAGATCCATAAGTTAATTCACCATCATAACTTCCAACACGAAATTAGGTCTCTTCAGCAGGAGAATATATTGATTTTAAACTGATAGATTTGAAATATAATGTACTCAATCAATAGAGAAAATAATATGCTAATAAAAATCAAATACAAAAATCATTTGCAGTATTTAAGGTGAGAGTCAACAAAAGTCTTTAACAACTATCTAGGGTGAAGGTAAAGAAAAAATTCATTACATTTCGGTAGCCAATTAATTTCCATCTACATTTCAATGATTTTTTGCATAATTAAGCAAAGGGAAATAAAAAATTAACTAAATTTGGGATACCTTTTAATATCTTGCATTGATTATGAAATATGTTAGAAAATTATCTTTCATTTTAAAACAAATTTAAAACTGCCATAAACATTCTTAACTTAACAGTAGTAGTAATTCCCAATTTAATGGGAAGTATTAGGTCTGTGATCATACAACTTTGTTGAGTAAACAAATTTTTTAATTGTTTTAGTTCTTTTTGTTCTTTTAAAGTAATGTATTTTTATTCAGAAAGTCCGGCATAACTAAATTTCTAAACCAACAGAACACTTAGCCCTTCCCAAGTAGAATTTACATCAGCTAATCAAGTTAGCTGCATTAAGTTTTTCATGATTTTCTTTAGATGTAACATTAATAAAAACTAATTAGTTTGCTAGTGGAAGTCCTATGAAAGCATCCTTTTCTTAAAACTCAATTCAATAATTGTGTACTAATTTTTAGCATAGCTACTTAACTTTTCATCCGCCAGGTAGTCCATAGTAAATGTCTGAGAATATTTTTTGAAATATCTTTAAGTGCATATGCTTACAAGAATATGTCTTGTGTACTATATGGTGAAGAAATTAAGACACTATATTAAAAAAAATTATTCCAGGTATAAGTACAAGTGGAATTTTGGTAAAATACCTCTTTATAATGGTGGTTTTAGGAAATCTGAGGTTTTGGAGTCAAACCCTTAATCAGAGAATTAATTTAAAATTTTAAAACATCTTTATCTGTTGACTTCAGAATGAGTTTTGGGGATGCAATCTGGAAATAAAATATTTTATGAATATAGTGTTTATGTAATAACGTAAGAATTTTTCTCTTTAATGTATTATTTAATGCTTAAACATTTTTTATTTTTTTTTAACTTTAGGTACAGTAACTATTCCTGGAGCTGGTGGAGGAAATCTTCTGGGTGGTTATATTGTAAAAAGATTCAAAATGAAATGCGCCAACATTATTCGCATTTGCATTATTTTTTCATTAATTTGTTTGGCATTTTCTTTCATATTTGTGCTTCACTGCCCTGATGCTAACTTCTCTGGTGTGAATAAAAATGTTCCAAATAGGTGATTAGATAAAAATATTTATTCTATTTATATTTCATAAAACTATATATTGTGCATCCCTTGAAAGTAGATCTTTAAAAAAATCTCAAAGCTTATATTACGCCCAAGAGAGCATTTTTTTAAATGTTTTATGTAATACCTTTATTTATTAAATATCATGTTTTTTTGCACTTAAATCATATAAAATTCAATTAAACAGCAATATAACAAAATATTTAAAAACAGCATATCTTTAGAATTTCCGATACACAGTCTCGCTCATTGGAGATAAAAATGTTTTTTCCGGTTCATTGCTGCCGTTGCTTTGAAATCATGGAGTTTGCTAATCAAAAATTCACTAAAGTTTTATAAAATTTGAAATAGATAATAAAACAAATTCAAAATTCTGTCTTCCTAGTGCTCATGTTCGGTTGAAGGACTACATTATTCAAAATTTGATGGCTCTAGATACCATTTTTTCACAATGTGAGAAACATTCATGCAAATTCTTCATTATTTAGTTTCTTTAAATATAATATTTGGTGGCAGCAGTTTGAAAATTGTATCAACTGCAAAAGTGAAATGATGCAAAATGCCATTTTTAGACTAATAGCCCTTTGTGTTTTTGCCCCTTTAGGCTAAAAAAAATGGGGGAAGGTTTTTGTTTTTGCTAAAATAAAATCGCAGTTTTTTTCTCAATTCATAAAGGTTAGTTTTTCTCTAATATGTTTTTACATGATCTCGGATATGCAGATCTGAATTTGATATCATTATATTTTCAAACTTTGCATAAATTATAAGTGTTTGTCATGAATCAGTAGAATGGATGAATTATTAAATATATACTGAAAATATAGGTAACCAAAAGTAGTATTTATGAAAAGACAGAAAACTTTGATATATTGCTGAAGCAAAAATGCTTGAAAATGAATAAAGCTCATATATAATTGCAGCTAATTACTATGATCTATACTACTTGACTAAATTTGCATGTTATAACTTTCAATAGATAAAACTATTCATGTGATTGATAACCTAAATATAATTATTAACTTATTTCTTATTGAAAACATTGTAATGTTTATAATCTATTTTTTGTAATGTTCATTTTATGAGATGTAATTAAAGCAGTGGCAGGTTAAAAAAGTAATGAAATTCATGTGCCTTTTTCAAAGATCTTTTAGTTATTTTAACACTTTACCGACCGACAGCCTATTAATCGCTTTTTATCGGGGCTACCTAAAAATGGCCTATCAATCGGTAGCCATGGCTCCAAGCAATTGCCATTTGCTATATCATCTTCATTTTATTATTAGTATTGAGGTACATTGCTCACTTGCGTTAGTTAACCTTCCAGCACGCGCATATGCGCAGAATTTACAACAAATTCAGTTTTTTATGTACATTTTTCGCATGTCGAAGCTGAGATGTCTGATGGTCATTTCTATTCCTCCTTTCTACCCTTCCCCACATCATGGAATGTGCCAACAGAAAAAAAAAAGTCATTTGACTTTTTTTTTAAACTGGGCTTTTGTGCTACGTGGCAGCTTTTTCGTAAAAGTTACGACACGCGCATGGTCGGGCGGGAAAGTTCGGAAAATATTTTTTTCTCAAATATTTTGTAACTTTGTGTTATAAATTGCTATGTATTATTTTAATTTGAATACATTTGGCTCTGTAAATTTTATATCGGTTTAGATGGCAAAACAATATGTGCAACCAGCTGATTTTGGTCGCATTCTTTAAGAATTATCTGATTAAGAAAAGGAAGACAAGGGAACCTTTGGATGGGAGAACAATAGCGATTTCCATTCCTTATTTTCTTTTATTTCTATTTTTTAGAAATAAATAAAAATATTATAGTTAGTTTAAAGTGCATTTTTGTAACCAGTAAGAAGTAAATTTCCTTGCAGAAGTAAGTAATACTAAACTTATGTTTTTTCCTACCAAGGCATTTTCCTTTTTTATTGGCTATACTTGCCTTTGATGAATATTAAAAGTAGCTTTGATTTTAAAATATAATTATTAAATAATAAATTTAAAATTTTCTATAATGAAATGCATCATTGCATTTCCAGCTCACTAACATAAGAAATTAAAAATAATTTACTTACAGTTGAATATGATATCATTTCTATTTTGCAATAATAAGATCAGTATTTTATTTTTTAACAAATTTATTATCAATGTTCACTCATTTCTGTCATTTTTCGGGCCAAAAACGGTAAAATAACGACGTGCGTGTGCTCATGTAAAATTGCCAAGCGCACGTGCTGGAAGGTTAAGTGCGTTGCTTTGTATACTCCCACATTTTCACACCGCTTTTAAAAAATTTACCGTTCAAAAAAAAAAAAAAAAAAAAAAAGTACTGGAGAGTTTTATTTAGATGATTTATCAGATTGTCCTGACAGTTATTCAGGATAGGGAGAATCTATGGGCAATTGGACATGAGTATTCTGTTGAACTGCTAGTGATTGGTAAAGTTCTAGTTGAACTGCTAGCGATTGGTAAAGGCTCTAGTTCATATATTTCTGAACAGGAGTATTAATTGAAAATAAAATTTCATTTCTGTATAGTTTTTATGGTTTCAAAATTAATTACTCTTTAACTCTATAAATGCATTTACATATGTTTTCTGTTAATTTTGTCAAATGTACCAATAAATATATTAATTAAATTTATATGTAAGGAAAGTTTTTTTGCATTTGCTGTAAAGCTTTATGTCTAGCTTTTTATGCAATAAGATTTCCCAGTTTAACTGTCCAAGTAATATATACTTTATTTCTTATTGTAATGATTCAAATGGGCTTAAATCTTTTGAAATTTTATAACTTTGTCCATTTAAATTATTTGAGTTTTCTTTAATTTCTTTTTGAACAGTGATCACTTCAAGGGTCTTTTATGCTAACTCATTTTACTTTTTTTTTTTTTTTTTTCATTTTAAAATTGCTGAATGCACTTTTGTTGAATTTTATGATATTTTTTTCTTTATCGGTATAAATTCTTTGTTCTTAATATTTGCAAGACAGTTTGGCTTTTAGACAGTATATGGAAGCTATTTTCTTATCTTTTAACAGAACGGGTGAATCTAAGTTTGTGCTGGATTGTAATGCAGACTGCTTGTGCTCTGATCACAATTATGATCCGATTTGTGGTGTAGATAACACAATATATTTCTCTCCTTGTTTTGCTGGCTGCCAAAGTATTTATCAAGAAAGTGAAAAAAAGGTAATTTATTTGCCATTAAATAAACCATTTCCTTTTTGTATAATTTTAAAGAAATGAAATAAAAAAGTCACATTTGTAGTATAAAAAACTATTCATAGCTGTATGAAAAGTCTCTTTTCTATAATATTACAGTACAAAGTCCGAAATCTGGACTCGTTGGGACTTCGGCGATTCCGGATTTGAGATTTTTCTGGATATTACATCATGAGTTTAAATCTAGTAAGATCACATATAGAAATTGTAAAATAAAAAATATGAAATCTGGATTCATGAAATAAAGAAATGTAAAGGGCATCAAAATTTACCCCCCCCCAAAAAAAACTTAATATTTGTTTCCTTTATTAAAACATTTCTTTCATTGTAAGTTGTTTAAGTTGCTTCGTTTTTTGTACTAATACATTCTCTTTAATTCTGTAGACAGACATAATCTTTTGTTTAGTTACATTGTTGAAGTCCTGTAACTGCTGTTTCGAGAATTCCGACTAACCTTGTCAATTGAAATTTTCTCGTTTTCAGTAACTTCTCTGTCATTTTCTTTATTATCTGATAGCGGTATTTTTTGGATCTACAACCATACTACAGATTTCGTCATACATTAATTGATTGATGATTGAAAAGCATTGTCTTCACAATGAAAAACTACTTTTATATCATCTTCATTTATTACCGATTCTCCACATTTTTTTACAAAAATCCGTTAATTGGAAAATTTCACTTTTGTTTTGCGATATCCGAAAACCTTTAAAATTAGCGGCTATCATCATCAAATTTAGCTATCCTTCACTATACCTATTTGGCTATGCATCATGAGCTACTCATAGAATGCAAAATACACCCAAAGTAAACACTGAATAGATGGTTACCAGAAACAGAAGGCAAATGCATATTTCATTGGAAGAAATGTATTCAGAATCTCTAGATTCAGATAACATGGAAATAAAAGAAGGTTTAGAAATCCTTAAGCATCTCCTTCCTCAAAAAGCAGCATCAGAAGAATAAACATCAAGCATAATGACCACCTTCCAATTGTAAAACCTTTGTGGTTTCATCAAAGCCTCATTTACATTAAACATATGATCAATGATCATCATCCTGTGTATTTGGCAGTACTGGCTGAAACCAGAGCAACAGCCTAAGCTTTAGAGGTGTTGGTGTCCTAACTTCACTGGACTTTTCGTCCACCCCAATTTTGTTAACAACAAGCCTCCAAGCTGTTGCCATTAGAGTAAGTGTATGAAATTTGATTTCAGTTTGTTCTCTTTGCTTGTCTCCAAATTATTGGATTGACCAATGACATTTAGATGATCTGATAGAGCAGCTGCCTGAGCCCTTTATCATAATAGGAGACTTTAATGGCCAGGGAAAGCAAGGATGCTAATGCTCGAGGTAAGCAGAATGCGCAAATGATTCAAGATCATTGGCTGTGTCATCTAAATAATGGAAAAGATGCATACTTTCATGAGTTTAGGAGAACCTCTCATGCTATTCATCTTGACATCAGAACACCATCCTTTGTACCGTTTTGTATATTTAGTGTTGAGAATGATGCTTGTAATAGTCACCATTTTCTCATTTTGTTACTCTTGCATGAGGAAGAGTTAATCCCATGTTAAGATCTCCTTGTTTTATATTTGATAGGGAAGACTGGGAACTCTTTTCTTTTGTTGCAGAACTCTCAGAGAAGAATGTGCAAATTGATGGTAGTGCAAGTCATTACTAATGTTACTATTCAGGCAGTTACACTTTCTATTCCTAGAATATTAGGAAAATTACAAAAATATTCCAAACCATGAAGTGCTGAAAAGCTGAGAAAAGTTTGGGGAATGTTTCTCAGACACCACTTTGTAAAACCATATAGTCTTCGAAAGAGCCAAAGCAAATGCACGAAAAGTAAGATGACAGAACCAGGTGGACTCATGGATTTCATATGTATCATCAATAATGTCCTCCATGCCAGGTAAATAGGTTTGGGAAAGAGTTAGAAAAGCATATGGATATATAAAGACTGCTCATTTTTCTTTCTACAAAAGGATGGCCAAGTGATTAGCTTTAAAGAAGAAATTGCAAAAACCATTGGTGTGATACTTGTTGCTGTTTCTTCCAACAGAAATTATTCATGCACATTTCTTTCTGTCAAGCAGCGCCAAGAGAAATTCCATTGCATTCAAAGTCTATAAGCCTTATACAGATTTTACGATGCTTGAGTTAAAGAGAGACAGACACTTGGACATTACAGACACCTAGTACTAGATGGCTTGAGTTAGGAAATTTTAAATTTCTGTATTAAAGGAACTTTTTACCACCATTTTAAGATCTTTATACATTGACAACGTTCAAATTAGCAGTTAAGGGGGGGCAGATATGAGACATACAGAGAGGTAATTACAGATCGCTTTGGACACAGGAATGTTAGATAAACAAGTATTTGTGTTTTTGAAACAGAAGACTGTGTGTGCACTTTTGCAGAAAGCGAGGTCTCTATCCCGAGCATGAGTTATATCTTAATAGATCAATGATTCCAGTTTCACCTGAAGTAAAGTTTTTAGGGCTAACATTCGACTGAAAACTGACTTCAACAACTGAATCCTATATACCTTCTTTTTTTTTTTTTTTTAATTTGCTGCTTTATTGAGGCACTCTCCCTATTTGATGTGTGTCCCCAGGCAGTACAGCATTTTGAAATACCACCGTGAGAAGATGCAGGAATCAACTTCTTGATGTTTTCTACCATCACATCAAAACAAACACTAATGAGTTGGTCTATGGACTACTTTCTGCTGAGCATAAGCATAGGTATGGTAGTTATGTTTCCATATATACAGTTGTATCCAAGTCAACTAGCGATGTTGGATGACATTTGTAATTGATGATGACATGGAGCCAGAAGTTGGTACCATGCTTCCTCAGTCTTGACAACTGAACTAACTGCTACATATAGTGGTTGTAGCATAACTGCAATATGTAGCACATAGGGTGTTGTGGACTTTTGTACATTTCAAAGCCATACCAGAAAAAGTTCATAATTTACACATACATACAGTACATTGAAAGCTTTAGAAACTTTTTCTGACGTTCAAAATCCAGTAGTCATTGAAGTTCTAAAATTAAATTAAAATTTACAAATGTGTGGCTATCATATTTAGTATTGCTGGGTTCCTCATCATGTTGGGATCAGTGGAAATACATGGCGAATATCACAGCTAAATCTGCTCTGTGCAGCCAGCATATTCTGCTTGGAGATACCCACAGGGTCATCAAGGAAAAGGTTTTAAATAAGTGGCAGCTGTGGTGGGATGCTCAAGTCAAGAATAAATTTGAAATCATGAAACCTATAGAGGAATACTGGAAATCTATTAGTAACCGAAGAGAGGAAAGTAATGTTAACCCATCTTCACACTGGTCACTCTAGAGACACAATTGCCTTTTAAGGGCGAGAGTGAACCTGTTTGTTTTTATTGTGATAGTTTTGTGTCACTTTTTAACAAATATTATTTAAAGTATCTTAATGACTCCAACTTGCCTTTTTATAGAATAATAATGCGTAAAGAGGTCAATGCTAATTTATTTTGGTACTTTTGGTATTTCAGTAATCATAAAACATGTCTCATATTTCATGATTTTCCATCTGTTTCACTATCTGAATTATAAATAACTTCATCTGAAACATTCATTATTTTATTACTTCTTTTGATTTTGTAAGTCTGTTGTTGTCTTAAATCTGTGATTGTAGCTATTTTTTATGTGAAAGTAATTAACATGTATTTGGCACTTACAACCTCCACAGGTTGTGTGCCATAAAATCTACTAGTACAAAGGATTTTCACTGTAAAAAAAAAATTGTCACTTCTGAAACATTCACAGGTGATGGTTTAGAATTTAATTAATTTGGATTTTCTTATGCTAATCACAATGATGGACAATGCAGAGAATGCTTAGGCAAGGTGAGCTAGAATACTGGGTTTGAATCAAAAGCTGAAGGTCACGAACATATTATTTGCACTCGGTACACGATTGATCAGGAAGCACTTGTAGTGAAAAAAAAATGTTATTAGAGTTAAATGCTGTGTACTGTAATATGAAAATCATTAATTTCATAAAATGGTAAGTCATTTTTTCAAATTTTGGTTTGAACTGCCAGCAAATAACCTAAAAATTTATTTCTTCTGTATTAAAAAAATTCACATTACATATTCAACACAACATTAGTCATATTATTGTTATGAATGAGATTGTGGTTAGGGTGTGTTCACGTCAATTGCAGTTAAACTATAACTTTACATGTCGTTTGTCTAGCAAAATGCCAATTTATAGAAACCAATTAGTAATTTTAATAGAATATTGATAGAACGTCAACATAATAATCGTGGCAAAAGTATCTGAAATTAATTGAAATTATAATTAATTTGTGTATGTTCATCTTTTCTTCATGTATAAACTTTAATATGTAGTGAAATACAAGATGAATATCTTCAATTCCAGGCTGTCATCATCTTCTACAAAGGTAGTTATTTCAGTGCTCCTCATGAGAAGTTCCACTGTATTTGTATAGGAATTTTTTTAGAATAATACAGAATTGGAGAAGGTATTGAATGTTTGCTAATACCAAAATATTGTACTTGTAAGTTCTCTTAAAGAAAAGTATTCGACAGTTTCAAATAAATGTTTTGTTGCAACTGAGTATTTTTATAATTTGCTTTTACAGTAAATAAAATTTTTCAGATGATGTAAGCCAGTGATTCTGAACTTTTTGACTAACGTGTACCATCTAAACAAATTGAAAACCTTTAGTATCACTGCTACAAAGTACTACCACCACCACCACCACCACTACTCTTGAATAAAGCTCAGATCACATAAATTTACGAGTGTTAGAGAAAAACCTCAATCAGGATTTTGGGGGTTTTAATTTTTGAATTTAATAGTTAAAAATACTTTGCTTCTTTGAGTACCACTGTTTAAGAACCCCTGATGTAAACAAACGTATCTATTTTAATTTTGTGTTATAACTATGGGTAGAAACTTCTAAATTTGTACATTTTATGACAAATTCATGATTTGGGAATACTGTAAATATGTTTTCAAGCTTTGCTGTGTTTTATTTGCAAAAGAAAAGTATATAAGCATTTTAATTTAATGTTCTGTTTTTACTCATCTTTAGGCTTATGGTGGTTGTAAATGCATTCAACAAGAAGGAATTAATATGACATTCCATGGAGTAAACCACATGATCCAAGCCACAAGAGAAAAATGTGACAATAAATGTCTTCATGGCCCTCTGTTTTTAGCTGTTATATTCTTTTGCATGTTTTTTACGTTTCTGGTTAGCATGCCGTCTTTATCAGCTACACTCAGGCAAGTTGTATATCATTTGTTTGGGGGGGGGAAGTTACTATTCTTTGCTTATGTTCTGTTTTTCCTAGTGTTGTCATATTTCTAAACTTCTTACGAATATCTTGATCTATTAGAGAAGGTTATGTTTATTAAAATTTATTTAAAACGAACTTCCATCATGTTTATTATGCAGAAATGTGTTAAAAATTAAATAAAATGTGAATCAAAATAGAATTATTTTTCAAAACACTTTTTAAAAAAAAAAAACTTAAAAGTATTCAATAGAATGGAAATTTTTTTCAGAACACTTTTTTTTTAAATCAGCAGCAAATACATTAAGTCCTGCAAAATCAGGCATTTAAAAAGTATATGTAAAATCAATAAATTATCAAATAAGTGTGGCTTGCACCTAGAAACTTATCACAGAAATGAACTTTTTTAGACATAAGGTTAAATTTTAAGCAATAGAAGGTGGTGATAACAGCACATTATGAAATAGAATGGGAAAAATTAATATTATTCAGTATCTATTCTTTAATATCAGCAAGCAGTACTAATAATATTGCGGTTAATCTTGAAGTCTAGTGGAACATCTTTTGAAGGATTTAAATTCTTTTTTCTGTACTAACAGTACAGCAGCATCTGCCAGTGAAAACTTAAAAAGTAGCTTATGCTCAAATAAAATTTTATGCAATTATAAGTCCAAGTATAAATTGCATTCTGGTATGCAGAATGATTTTTAAAAATGTATGAAAATTTGATTCATTCTGCATGCTAAGGTAATCACTAAATGTTTATGATCTAAGCATACCTCTGAAAAAATAAATGAATTAGCATATTGTTTACAAATGGTAAAACTCCTAAACTTTAAAACTATAAACAGGGTTCATAGGGTCCTTAAGACTCCTTAAAAGTCCTTGGGTTTTGGGAAATCAAGTTTTGGTACTTAAAAGTCCTTAATTTTGGCTGAGATCGGCAGAAGGTCTTTAATTTTAATCATCTGAAATTTCTGTCTGTTTTTACGACTGCCATTTTGAATGTGAATTTTGGAGGAATATTTTTAGCGATTTACTGACAAATATGGTTATCTTTTGAATGGGTTCATGAGTTATAATTTGTTCCTATTTCTAATACACTGCTGGCCGCCCAAATTGCAACACCAAGAAAGACAAGCGATATCACAGCAAAATTTATTTAGTAGATAACATGTTGACCAAGTATCAAATGATTAAATTTATAGACTTCTGTGAAGTGTGGTTCCTTCCAGAATCAGTAGCCATAGTAGCCGCCATTGTTGGAGATCACCGCTGCCACACGCCTCGGCATTGATTCAAAGAGACTTTTGGATGTGTTCTTGGGGTACAGCAGACCAAGCAGCTTCCACACGTTGCCAAAGTTGATCTGGTGTGGCAGCTTGGGATGTAATCTGGGTCAATCGTTCAGCAACTATGGACCACATATTTTTTTATCGGCGAAAAATCCACAGAGCGAGCCGGCCAGGGAAGCAATTCAATCTGCCGATTGACGAAGAACCAGAATGCGTGCCACATGTGGTCGCGCATTATCCTGATGAAATATGGCTGTCGGCAAACCCTGAAGGTAAGGAAGGACAACTGGCTCCAACACCACGGAGATGTAGCGCTGGCTGTTTAAAGTACTGGCAATGCATACTAGAGGAGTGTGATAGTGATATCCAATACCGCCCCATACCATAATACCCGATGCAGGACCAGTGTGGTGGTGCATAACGCAGCTGTTTAGCATCCTCTCTCCACAGTGTCTCCAGACTCGAATCCGACCATCGTGGTGTTGCAGACAGAAGCGTGACTCATCAGTAAAGACAATTTCATTCCATTCTGCCATCCACATCCTTTTTTCATCGCATCATTGGCGGCGGAGACATCTGTGGTTCTGCGTCAAGGGTAAACGAAGCAATGGACGTCTTGTGGACAGACCACTCTGCTGTAAACGCCGTCGAATGGTATGTGCAGACACTGCATGATGCGTTACAGACTGAATGTGCTGTGGTTCGTGATGTGACTGAGCGATCCGTCACTGCCATGTACACAATGTTTCTGTCATCACGTGAAGTGGTGCACTGAGGTGGATGCAATCGAACACGTCGGTCCGTCGTACCCTCCTGCATCCAGTGGTCGCCTATCTGCATTACAGTTGTTTGATTTCGTCCAACATGACTACTGATTTCCCTGAAAGATAATCCACGCTCTCGGTAGGCCACTATCCTTCCTTTGTCGTACTTGGATAGTTGATCAAACGATGATCGCTGTTGACTACGAGGCATAATTAATCTCTTTTTTTTTAAACCACAAGAAAAACACAATTGCCGAACCTGAAATCGTCGAAAACTCCAAACCTTAAATATTAATTTGAAGTGGTGCCACAGGCGCTGAAATTCTAATCATTTGCATATCTCACCTCCACTAATGCATGTTGTAAATTTCATGTTATTTGCATGTTTCCTTCAGGGTGTTGCATTTACGGTGGCCAGCAGTGTATAAAAGGTTGGATACTCGAGTTTCTGAGCAAGAAATGAAACACAAGGATTTCGAAATTTTTTCATTTTTTCTTATGAAGAGCTCTTAAACAACTTTTCTGTTTTGGGGATCTGAATTTTTTTATTAAACGGTTCTAAATTTGGCGACTTATCGACATTTTGGTGATTTTTAAGATAAGGTTCTGTAGAAAATTTTTAATTCCAAGATCTGAGAATTTTTCGATGATTTTTTTTAAGACTTGGTAATATTGATAAGTTTCATTATAATAATGGTAATATATTGAAATTGTGTTTAAAAAAATCCTTAAAATAGAATATTTTAATTTTTCGCTGTCATATTATAAAGTTCCATTTTTGCCACTAACTATACAATATTTTGAATCTGGAAAACAAACGAGGTATGATGTTATAAAGCACAATTAATGAAACATTTCATAGCAAAATAGCTATGTAATTAATTAAAAATGCCTTTTAATTTTTTAATGTTAAGAGTTTTACCCTTGTAATTGTCTCAACATATTCAGAATATGCATCAGTTTTCTGTATAAAATTAATTTTACATTTTTTCCCTCTGATTTTTTTTCCAAAATATTTCTCGCTTTTTGGTGTTGCAGAATTGGTAGGGGTAATTTTTTAGGATTTTAGACATTGCAGCTTGGAAAGTTTAGAAGGATCTAAAAGCAAGATTTATAGACTCACGATTCTAGAAGATTACAGAAAAATGTGACAAAATGAAAAATGTCTCCATGGTATTAACATATTATGGATGTATTTTACAGAAAGTTTGCAATGAATTTCTCACTGTTTGGTAACATCTGGAAGAACAATGAAAATATAATATTTGAATATTTTACTTCTGATACTAGAATCTTACATGTTTATCTTCCCTTTATTTTCCTTTTTTTCATGCACAAGCATAGAAAATATCAAAAATGCTTCTAATCTTATCACATGGACAGGCATTATAAAAAGAATTTTTTTTATTCATAAAGAAATTGAAAATGACAATTTAAAAAATTAATATAATGTGTCTTAATGCATCATACACAGGGCTGGTACTTGGCATTTTCTCACCTGACACAATCTCTGCGAATCCTAAATCCTCCTGCTTAGTGCCTTTCTAAATTCTGCTTTCAATGCTTGCTGTGAGTTCTTAAAATTTTGCCATTTGTAGATTTTGTTGCTTAGTGTGTAAGTAAATTTTAAAAATTCTGCTACATCAGCCCTGTAAACAGCCCTTACCATATATATATATTTTATATTTCTTCTGAATGTTCATATTACTAAAGAAATAAAATTATCACCTTTTTCTATACATTATAAATGCAATTAGTTTTTTTAGAATAACAGAAATTTTTAATTAAATACAAAAATTCTAAAATGAAAAGGAAACATGTTGAAGAGAGAAACTGAATACATAAAGAGAAAGTAAATTATTCTTCAAAGATATGTACAGTTATTATTATGTAAATTACCAAGTTGTTTATAACTTCAGCCTTTACTATAATTTCCCATTTCTATTTCCTGACTAGATTGCAAATCACTTATAAAGTTTTTAAGCTGAGGTTTTTGGAGTGTAAAACAGAGTGTTTTTGACCTCCGTTTGCTCACTACTTTAGTTCCTGCCAGCTCTGATTATTTGTAATTATTCATCTTTGTATCAATGCCGACATTTGAATTTTTTATGAGGATAGAGTTACTGAGCCAGCTTAAATTATATATTCCTTGACCACTAGTCCACATTTTTAGTTTGAATTTGAGTGCTCTTGTTTAATTACATCACAATAAACGGTACTTGATTTAGTTAGCATCAGAACGTGCTTTTATGTTCTAAATTGTTTTTAAATAAGAGGCTTATTTAAGCCTTTGTCTGACTTTGTACTTACTTTCAGATATAGAGATAATTTGCTTCACGCCTGTTGGGGGGGGGTTGGACTATTTAACTTTTACCAGATCAAGTAAACTTTTATAGGTACACTGTGGGAGGTTGACAAGTTAGAAGACAAAGCATGCAGAAACTAGCGAGAGCATTGGTTTGCATATTGATACAAAGCTCTAATTAGAAAAGATGCATAAAGAGAAGGAAATCAATATAAACTAGCCAAAATGTCTGGGAACACTTGAGATTAAAAGACTCGCATAAATATTGAGTGTTATGTTTTGTGGCTTTTAATGTGTAATTATCCTAATATCGTTTAAGAATCAATGTTATAAATTACATGTATTTTAAACTGTGAAATTTTAGTAGACTGTGATTTTAATAGGGCTTTTTTAACAAATATTGTTAATGAGAAATATTATCTAATTATGCAGTATTCTTATGTTGGCTATCTAGTATTTCTCATTTGAAGCAATTTTCGGCATTAATGGTATCTTTATTTTACTGTAAAGCAGTAGCCATGTAAAACTAAAGGCATTGTGACTGAAAGGCACAATCATCAAACATTATGATTTCTTAGAAAGCATTTAAACTTCTTAGGAAGCATTTAAAAGCTTCCGAAGAAGGAAGCTTTTAAACTATGGCGTATAAAATTTCCAATAACCTGTATCCCAACTTCATTCACTGCAAACAGCAAACAGAGATGCACAAAAATATTGGAACTGTGACAGGTCACATCTCAGAAGTTTTAGAAATTGCAGTAAAGTTTTAAAGAAATCTTCAAGAAATTGATGTTTGGGAAATGCTGAGTTTCATCTATGTAGCTAGTTTTTCTAGTGTCAGACTTCCTAAGTACTACTCTTATTCAGCGAGCCTTCAGGCTCCTGCTGCATGATAATTTGAAAAAATAAGCACTAATAAAATTTATAGCAAGATTCATTCTTGCAATTTGAACAACTAAATTCTTCAGTTGGTAAAAACGGTGGGGAATAAAAATTATTTTCATTAAGCATTAACTCAAATTAATAGCAAAAATTCAAACACAGATTATTCGTATTAAAACTATAAAACATGATTTGTCTTAGCTTTGTCCCTGGCTACTGAATAAGTTGGCTATATGAAATTTTTCCCATGATAATATAAATACATGTCAGTTTCCCTTGGGAAGTCTCCCCATTAGTGGCTTACAGTAACATTGCTGAACACCATTATTTCAACCTGGGATCGAATACCAGCAAATGGACTTACTGCATGTTTGTTTTTTGTGGTTTTCCCATGTGTAATGTAGATACAAGCCAGTTTTTCATAAAAATTCCTCCATAGATGCAACCCTTCCCATAGGCAGATATCCTCTAAGTTTGCTTTGCCTTAATCAATTAACCTAACTATGGAAGTTCTCCATGAAGACATCTCTTTCCTTGGTCAACTGCCCAAAAGTGACCTGGCAGTAAAATCGTTGAACACTCATTGTTTGACTTAGACCACAAAATAATCTTTTAGGAAGGATAGCTCTCATGTTCTTTGCCATAATCTAAATAATTCAATCCCTTTAGCCCTTGTATTGTTATAATTGATAAATCAAATCCAATTTTTATTACTATTAACATGCCTAATGCTCTTACTGACATATTTATTCAATCAAACGGAAGAAACTTTTGCTGTTTCTAATTTAAATTGCATTGTTCTATGTTCTGTTTCCCTTTCTGCTTACTAGAATGATGTCAACAAATTAATTTTCATTTCCTTATTTGTAACTATTTAATATTCATGGTAGTTCATAAAACATCCCAAGTAAACTTTGTTCTTTTGAGATTCAGCCTTGTGCCAGTGCTTGTGAAAAATGTGATCATGACTTGAACTCAATTCATAAAATAGTTCTTTCAAATCAAGTGAATGACATATATTTTATTATCTTATATATCACAATATTATAGTCATATATGTAGATAGTGTAATGTTTTGATTCATCAGAAATCTTGTTTTCAAGATGTTTAAAAACTTCTTAAAGGCATATAACAGAAATAAATCCTATAAGGAGAAATAAATTCTATTTTTGTCGGATAATGTTCTTTTATACGCATAATGCTTTGTTAATTTTTGACTAGTCCCAAAATCATTTTGCTGGAAAGCAATTATAAATTTGTGGCCTAAGCTGTAAAACATTAATATTTAATTCTGGTTTAGGCCTTGTGTTTGAAAGGCCTGCTGCATAGTATTTTGTTACTATTTTCATTGTGCATATTATATCAATTTCCTGGAAAATGTTCTTCATAAAAGTATCCTCCTTCTAATCAGTCACTCTTTACTACGATTAATCAACCATAAAACTTTTTTTATGAGTTAAATTTAAATTTTAAGATCTTTTATTCTAAATAAAATTCCTAGTACTTTTAACTTTACAACACATTAGTTAACAAATTTTAACTAATGTGTTGTAAAGTTGCTGGTGAATAGAACAAATATGTATCTTTAGATTAAAATTAGTCATAATTTACAAAAGAATAAATTTTATGTTTCTGAGTCTTGAATGATTATTTAGCACCCTAGAAGTTAGTGCCTATGTAATTTAATCTCAGAACCAGGAAACCATATACAGTCAAAAGTCTTTAATCCTGACTCGTCGGGACTTCGGGGGATTCCGGATTATAGATCATCAGTTTAAATCTGGTAAGATGGCATGCAGAAATTATAAAATTAAAAATAATTGCTCTTAATTTATGAAATAAAGAGCAATTATGATCTAAGGGCATCAAAATTTGCAAAAAAAAAGCTTAATATTTATTTGTTTACTTTATAAACATTTCTTTCAACGCGCACATGCGTAAAGCATACATTACGCATAGTCGAAATTAGAAAATTGCAACCAGAAAACTATTTGTGTATTTGTGATATTTATAATGCCGAGGAATTAGATTTAAATCATATCAAAGATGGAGTACATCGAGATGAATACTACATTTAGTAAGGAATTATAAACCAAATAAAATAAAAACATCTGCCCTGAAGATAAGGATAGTGCTGACAGATCAATTTCCAGTTCATTGCACGCCATGACGTCCCCCCCCTTTCGGAATGGTTAGAGAAACGAAGGATATACCTTTATCCATTTTTGGCAGCAATTCCACTTTTTGTTTGATGGACATCGAAACATGCTTTTGCTTTGTAGATCCTTTGGTAGCTCCAGAATCGGAAATTCTTTTTGACATAATCGAAAGTTCAAGCTTACTTTTATAAAATTGCTCTAATAATCTGCAAAAAATAATAAGCGGGATCCAGTTAGAAGATTAAGGAACAATCCAATAATGGAATTTGCAACATTAACTGAAATAGATAATTTTAGCTTAGCTTATACAATTCATTATACATTAAACGCATATGCATAAAGGTATTATGTGCTTGCGTAAATGCTACACATGCGCAGAAAGTTTGTAGCTTTGAGGTCCGGATTATAGATCATTCCAGATTATGGACGTCCGGATTAAAGACTTTTGACTGTATTGGTCATTTTATACAAGATAATAATTTTGTATAAAATGACCTGTAAACCGTTTTAAAATAGTTTATTTTGGAAAAAAAGTTTGTATAATGAATCTGTAATATTTTGAAATTAATCCTTTCAGTTTTGTTTATACTGAAAATAAACTTTTTCTATTTCTGTAGATGTGTTGCTGAAACGCAGAAGTCTTTTGGTTTAGGGATTCAATGGATGGCTGTCAGACTTCTTGGTATGTATGTGTATATATATGTGTAAGAAAAATAAAGAATATGTAAAAAATAAATTGTATTAAATTAGCAGTGTAAAGTAATTTCCCTCATCTATTCTAAAAATAGTAATCCCTTTTTTGAACTGCCATCATTTGAGACTTATCCATGTCTTATGACATACATAATTCTGATGATGTAAATGGAACTAAAACAGCCAATAATAATTTTACAGCAGTATTAATTATCCAATAAAAGAAACTCATTCTGAATTAAGATTTCATCCTGAACATAACGCAATAGCTTGTTACTCTTCGCCCCAGGTGGATTATTCCTTCTTACTGCAAAGTTATCAGAAATGTAAACATTTTAAAGTAGGCAGAAATAATGTGCCAAGTTTTTTGTGGCTGTAACATGTTTACTGAAGTAAAATGAAAATTTAATATGCCTCAGCTGCCAATTTCTTATTAACTGTGGATCGGCATCTCAGTATTCTATGCTGTCAAAATTCTTGCTCCTTATTACGAATTCAACTTTCTGCACCATCAATATTGCAAAGTCCCTTTTTTATTACAGAATGTCAGATGGGATCCTACCTTGTGAAAAATTAAATATTGTCCTACGAAATTGTTGACAAGTGCTAAATTGTCTAACTGAAATTCTGTGTTCTTCAAAAGCAATATCAAGGAAGAACAGGAATGAAAAAATATTATGCTGTGGCTTTCTAGTGCTTTTAGAACATACCTCTGTGTTACACCTAGTGACCATTTAAGGTATAAGTAAAAAGAAAATCATTCAGCATTATGTATTGACAAGTGGTTCAAGGTCCTTAGGCTAATATTTTGTCTACTTCCGTTTTCAAAATGTGGGAAAGTTTAATCTTCATGTTAATCTTTATTACTCTTCAGCTATTTTATCAGCTAAATTAAATCACATTTTTTAAGAGGTGCTAAAAGGAGAACTGTGCAACAGATTTAAAATTTTGCATCTAAATGTAGTAAAATGTTCCCAAAAATTAATTATATTAATTTACAAATTTTGTCAGTTTATGTAATGTTATTGTGGTAATAATCCATACTAAACGTTTTTTATTACGATGAAGTAAGTAACATTTAGATTCCGTAACTTATTTATATTATTTTAATGTTGTTTTTCTGTTTCATTGGTAATTTATTACTTTTGTCAAAAGTGTTAATGGAGACAAGATCCAAAACTGCTGCAATGTCTCAAGATAAGAAATCTGATAAAATTGTGCCTGAAGTTGTTTCTGTGGGCAAAAGTAAATTTACATATCCCATTTTTGATGGACCCAAACAGTTTCCCATCGGAAAATATTTAACAATTTCTGAAAGACAATGTATTATCGAAAATCTTTTTGAAAAATAAAATTGGTAATTTTCCCCAGTTGTTTGAAAGGAGAAGCATTAATATTTTTTATTTGTGAGTGTGTTGAAATAGGTAAGTGGAATGTTTTGAAAGAAAAATTTCTCGTATATTTTTCCAGTCTAGAATGTGCTACTTTTAATGATTTTTGTTTCTGTAACTTATAATAAATTTAATGAATTTTTATCAGTATTTCCAAAAGTTAAAATAGGCTCTGCATTGAAAATAATTGATCATATTTTATTCGAGTCCCTCACTCAAGGATTACCTGAGCAGCAGCATATGTTGCTAGCTGCTCAATATCACTTCTCTTCAGATTTGGATTACTTTAGCCAGGAAAATATTTCCAACCTCAAGTTTCCCTGAAGTATCTAAAAGCACCAGTAGTTTACCACCCAGGTTTACCATTTCTAGACAAAATCCTTGTCCGTTTTTGATTATCCAAGATATCATATTGGCTGCTCCAATATATAAGAAAAATAAAAAATATGTAAAAGATAAACTGTAATTTAAATTACCAGTGTAACTTAAATCTCTCTTACTATTCTAAAAATCATATCTTTTCTGGTTAGCATCATTTCTAGATCAATCTATCTTGCATGGCTTCCGTATGTAGTTCATTTGAAACTTTAAATCAAAATTACTCAGATATATGAATAAATGTGTATATAAATTTGCTGAAAATATGTAACATTTCATGGGTGTATCTGTTATGGAGATTTTTTTTTGCATCTGATAAATCAGAAACTTTAGAAGGTTTTCATTTGTTCAATTATATTTAAGCTGCTTCAGTTGGATTTTTATAATATAATTAAAATTTTTATTAAAAGATGTTTAAATTACAGGGACTATACCTGCTCCAGTTTTGTTTGGTTGGCTGATTGATAAGAGTTGTATCTTGTGGCAAGATTCATGTGATGAGCAGAAAGGATCTTGCCTTTTCTATAATAATGAAGTTATGAGTACAAATATTCTGACAATTGTTTGCCTGGTGAAATTTCTGTCTTGCATATTTTTCTTCATTGCATGGTATACCTATCATCCTCCAGACGCAAGTCCAACTTATGTTCGAAACCAATCGCTTTATGAGCCATCTTCAGGGGATAATGGAGTTCAGTCCATTTCAAAATCTGATGGTAATTGTCCACAAGATGAGCTTTGTGTTGGAATTAAATTTGTTCCGTATCAAAATGATGCTTTTACATCTTGTGAAGCAAATACTAGTAGTGTGCTGTGAGCATTGGGTTTTAAAAAATTCACTGTAATGTTTTCAAAATGGAAATATGTTTAATTTCTGTGAAGGCCAAATGTATTTAATTGTAATTGCAATTATTTATTGTAATTTATTTGTACAGTAAATGTTTTATGTGATAATGTTTATTATGTAACTTTTAGATCTGATGTTCATATCACATAATATAATATATGTTGTAAATATAGGTTTTAAAATATTATGTGATACAGATAAACTATTGAAGAATGACACAAGGTACAAAATATATATTATAATGTTAGTGCGAGTAGGATTAAAATGTCTTGACTTGAAATAGACACTAAGTGATGAATGTCACTTTATTTGTTGAGATCTGATATTTAGAGTCCTATTAATGTTAATATTACAGAGTTTAATGTTACTAGCTTTCTTTACTTAATTTTCAGTACATCCCGTCCAATCAAGATTGAATACTATAAAAATTGTTTCAAATTAATTAAATATGTACCTGTTACTTGAAATTTTTAAATGGCAGCCTATTATCAAAACTTTATTAAATAAGTAATGTGCTAACTATAAATAATTTATTTTAAAAAAGTTATATTGTAAGGCTAAAGAGAAATTACTTTTGAAAGAATAGTAATTTTAAACTAAATGAAAATGCATACTGATTTGGGTAGGAATTAACATATCCAAATGTATATATTGACATTAGGAGATCTTGTTTACATCACATGCATTATTTATAATATTCTGAACAGAAATCTGATATATTGCTAGTTTTAGAAATATTTTATAAATTTATTTTAAAACCTCAAAAATAAATCAACCAAATTTGATACTAAATAATACTGCAGGAAATTTCCCTTAACTCAAACTGGGGGAAAAAGTACCAGCATTTGAAAATTTTTGCAATTTTGTATTAAAGCTTAATTACTTAATTTTAAGTTTATTAATTATAAAAAAATTATAATTTTTATTGCATTTTTTCATTTGTGTTATGTTTTTTAATCTGATTTTTTTCACTCATTCTGCATTTAGATAAAATGTTTTGTATAAATTATATTCACATTTTGTGTTTGAGATTTAATAACACTTTCATTCTGCCAAAGGTTGTGATATGATGGTATAATGTTTATTTTGTAGTTATTTATCATTATTGTGAGATACAATGAGATTTATATGTACAATAAAGATAAAATACTCTTTGCAGTGGCTTTTAATTATAAAGACTATACAGACATGATTTTATATTCTCTTTGAATTGCTCTTTGTAGTTACAGTAAGTTATAGCTTGTTATCTGCTAGAGGCAGTCCATTTATTCTGATGAAGATAATTTTCCTTGTCTTCCGAACAAAGCTGAATTTTAGAATTATTTTTGTATGAATTTTAAAAAGATTAAATCGAGTAGTAGTATAAAATATAAATTCATTTAATGATTCTGATAATATAAAGATTGCATAGCATAAAATATTTTAATTGGTTTGTGTGAGCAAAATTTATGAAAGTATTATTAAAATAAGGTCTAAATTTTGCCACTTTCTTTTATATGCTTTTCAACTATAAAGCAATTAGACCTTTGCGAATAAAATAAATAATTTGATAAAGAAAATTATCAAAATTTGTATTTGTGATCTAGAATATAACCTATATTTAAAATTGTTTCTTCATATAAATTTCTATACAAAAATTAAGCAATTTTAACACTTTTGAAAGGCATTTTAACAAATTAAGCAATTTTAACACTTTTGGATCTGCTTACGAGGAATTGTATTTAAATAGCATTTATTCGTTAAATTTATATAAATATCTGCTTTTATAAATTTTCATTTATAAAAATATTTTGACCATTAAAAACTAAAACAAAGTATTTGAAATAATAAAGCTATAATTATATATATATGATAAATATATCTTATGACTGGATAAAGGCAGTGATACCACTTGAGGGTTAATTGCTTACACAGGATTTCTAAAATCTGTAAAACAAAGCATGCTGGAAATGCTTCAAGGCATAGCAATTGGAAAATCTGTTTTACACTAGCATAGAGAAAAGAGGATGCAATTTGCTGTAGTGGTAGATGGAAGTATGCAAATATGCTAGGTAACAGCCAATCGCACTTTCATTTCAAGAAATATACAAAAAAGGCAGTCTTGTAAGAAGTCAGCTTTATGAAGGGTTACAGAATTTGATTGTAAGTGCTGATAGAAGGTGTTTAAAACTTTCGTACAATTTGTTTTCAAGATACACGTGTTTCTATAACTTCCAGAAGGCGAATGGAAGATTCTGAGCGCTGGCGTGCTGTGGGGCGCATTGAAGTAGGACAGCCGATCACAGATATTGCTCTTTTCTTCCGCTTCATCATTCCGTAATTTCACTTTATGCAAACAACTCCAAACCACACAGACAGTTGTCCGAAGGCCTGTAGCTGGTCTCCAAGGGTTACATCCCCGCGGAAGATCGATATATTGCTATTGTAGCCAAGCGGAATCGCAGCGAGCGACCTCCACACATGTGACATCTATGGCTATAATCCCACCTTGACATCTATGTTACAGCTTCCATTGGTAGGCGATATCTGCAGCTACTGTATGCCGAAGATTACATATGAGTAGGCTGTACGACCGGGTACCTCGATTTGTGTTCCTCTATCCGTCCAATCAAGAGGGGCACGATTACAGTGGTGGTGCTGCCGGGAACATGTCAATTGGAATGTGTCTGACTGGGGCAATGTCGTTTACTGATGAGTCAAGATTTTTTCTGAAGCCAGATGACAAGCGTATAAAGATATGGCGTGAACAACGAACATGCAGTCAGTCCCAAAACATGACCGAACATCACGCATTCCGAGGCGGAAGCATTATGGCGTGGGCAGGGATTTCATTAGAATACCGCACCGACCTGCACATCTTTAAGCGGGGTTCTTTGACGGCTGTCCGGTATCGAGATGAAGTCCTAGAACCCATTGTTAGATTGTACGCTGCATCAGTTCGCCTACTTTTGTTTTAATGAACAATAACGCACGTCCCCATACAGCTGACATCGTCAATGAGTACCTGGAGAGTGAAGGGATTGCGTGGCCAGCATATTCGCCCGACCTTAATCCCATTGAAAATCTTTGGGATGCTCTCGGCGGCCGTGCTGTATCTTCACGTTTCTTATCTCCAGCCACTCTTATTGATCTGGAAACTGCTCTACAAGAAGAATGGCAATTGCTCAATTCTGCGGTTGTTGACCACCTAATTGAAAGCATGGTCACAAGGTGTAAACTTTGTATACAGATGAGAGGGGATCACATACCCTATTAAAGTCCTTTTTTTTCATTTTATGCTGTTTATTTTCACTTTATACATAATTCTGTTTAAGTCTCCAGTATGTCATTATCTGACAACTTACAAAAATTTAATATTGTTTTCATTTCTGTATATAATTATTGATTTTGTTTTATGCATAAATATATGTGCTACTTTCCTGCCGAATTTTGTATCAATCAAAGCAGTATTTGTTGCATTAATTTTTTTTATTTATTTATTTTTTTTTTCAATTTTATGTCTTCGTGCTTAACTTTTGGAAGTGAGTGTGTATATATATATATATATTTAAAGACATAAAGTAAGAAATTTAGAACTAATGTGTCACAAAGACGAAAATTTTGAAATTTATTAATTTTGAATTTCAAAATTTTCTGCAGCTTAAAGCGCAATTTTACTTTAAAACTTTAATATTAAAACATTTCAATTTTTCTTAATTACTTTAATTTTTGCAAATTTCACACAAAATATCTTTCACTTAATTTTTTAACAATTTTCACAATTTTTCAACAGAACACGCATTTCAAATTACAGTTTACATTTTTTTCACATACCACTTCACTTTAATTTCCTTCAAGCAAACATACATCTCTTGATTGGCTCAGTTACTTAACTCTCTAAATAATTGATATTACTACCTTTAGGATTTTTTTTTTAATTTAATTAATATAATTAATATTTACAAAAAAATTTTTACTGTAACAAAGATAGCAGCTTGACACTCAACTTTACCTACATAAGCGCCATCTATATAATTTGAAGAACACACTTGCTTCTCTTTCACAACACTTTTGCAGACCCCAACACTTGCATATAGTAGGTAAGTTAGAATTAAAACTTACTATTTACTTGCTTTAAGTGTTTTTTTAAAAAAATTTTTTATGTAGTATCTAAGTATTTTCTGGATATGGGAAATTTATATTTTTAAATATATGTTATTTTTAAAATTGTGAAATTAGTGAACTTTTTGTTTCTTTTTGTTACTTTTTATTTCTTATTGGTTTATATGGATTATGTATAGTTCTTTTATAGTTTCTTTTTATTGATATGCATATTCGTGTAGGGGAAGTTTCTGTAGACAAGGATTTCTAAAATACATTGGTTTCTAGATTTTTTTTATTATTTTATAAAAAATTAATTTTTTAAAAAAATTTAATTTTTTAAGAAAAAAGTTTAATTTTTGGCTTTACTTGCTTGTTTCTCAAAAGACTTAATTAGTATTTTCCTTTTTGAACTTTAATTCTTAAATGTTAATACTTAAATGTTAATTTTTAAGGGTACCACTTTATTGGAATTACTCTTGGTTTTGACTTTTACCCTTGCCTGCATGAATGACGAAACACGAATTGAATGATTGGAGAGTTAGGTTTGGGGGCAACTTCCCCTTGATGTCTGTCTCCTGCCTACTCTATGATCATTCACATATGCATTTAAAAAAAAAAAAAAGTTTAATTTAATTTTAATTTATTAAATTAGTAGATTTATTTTCATGGATAGATTTTGCACTTGATTTGCTTATGCTTCTGAATTTAAATGATATTGTAGATTAGTTCGAGAATTAAATCTTTTACATGTTTGCATATTTAAAAATTATTTAAAATTATTTTGTCTTTTTTTTTAGAATTTTAAATTTGCTTTTTTTTACTTTTTTACTTTTATACGTATTTGTTAAGAATTTAAATTTTATTTAAATTTGTATGTATATCAATTAATCAAATACGGTTTAGGAAATAAATTATATATATATATATATGTATATATTATATATATATTAAAACATTTTTTGTAATGTGTATATAGGCTATTAAACTCCAATAGCTCCAGAAAAGAAATTTAAAAAAATTCTTTTTTGCATTTTAAACCAAAGCACTCTCTACAGTGAAGTAATTATATGAGCAACTCATCATGGCTATTGTACACCCGTAATTTTTTTTTTTTTTTTTTTTTTTAACGACGATCTTGGAAAATTCTAAAGAAGCTGATTAACAGAAAATGGAAAATTTACAACTTCCTTTAATGAAAATGACCAAGATGTAGTTACACAGCTATCAATCTAATATTAACGTTGAAGAGACAACCACGGAAGTGCACAACTTGCAGGATCACATGCAAGAAGTGGCAGAAACACTAAAAGAAGTTGCTTCCTGCATTCACAAGTATTCTCAACAAGATTCTTGTTTTAAGGTACAAGTCACCCTGCAAATCTGGTATCAACTGCTGCAGCTAGGCACATTTTTTTAAGCTGAAGGAAACTGATAAAATCTGCTTTAAGATTATATTGAACTCAAAGTTGAATTCCCTTACACCTAAAGAAAATGATGTTGCTGAAGAATTTCAGTAGGAGATATCAACTACAACTTAACAAAACAACTACAGATTTACAATATGTTGCATTTACAAAAGCTCACAATGTTGAAAGCATTTATATTCAATTAACTAAATAAAAGCATACTATTTGTAAACCTAAAATGCTTCATTCATATAAACTTCTAACTACTCCAATTGCCTAGAATGCTGGGACTACAGCTCAGACTGGAAATGAATGTAATAGATATTGCACTACAAGTCATCTCTCCATTATCATATTCATATAATATAAATATCGACGTGGTAAGTTCAACGAACGGACATTTTTGGAGGTAACTTTCAGATCTTATGATACAGTCATGAAAGTCTTTCACAGTATTAGCAACTTAACGCTAACTTACAACAGTTGTCTTCCTAAATACCTTGAGAATTTAGCATATTGTTTAAGAAAAATTCACATCAGTGTTAACATCAAATGCAAAATGTCATATTTTTAAGACAGTTACATTTTAAATTTCCTTTATATTTTAATTAACATTTGCAAGTGGTTCTAGCAGCAACTAAGCATATATATTTTCCCCAGCCCTTA